GTGCTGCTATAAACATTGATGTGGTTTTGTGCCGGTAGTATGCTGTTTTTAAATCCTTTGGATATAGACCCAGGAGTGGGATAGATGGGTCAAATGGTGGTTCCATTCCCAATTTCCCAAGGAATCTCCATACTGCTTTCCATATTGGCTGCACCATCTTGCAGACCCACCAGCAATGTATGAGTGTGCCCTTTCCCCATATTCCCACAAACACTTATTGTTGTTTGTATTCTTAATAGTTGCCATTCTGACTTGAGTGAGATGAAATCTAAGAGTAGTTTTGATTTGAATTTCTCTAATTGCTAGAGATGTTAAACATTTTTTCATATATTTGTTGACTGATTGTATATCCTCTTCTGAGAAGTGTCTGTTCAGTACCTGAGCCCATTTATTGATTGGGTCATTTGTTTTTTGGTGTTAAGATTTTTGAGTGCTTTGTATATCCTAGAGATTAGTGCTCTATATGATGTGTGTGTGGTAAAAATTTGCTCCCATTCTGTAGGCTCTCTACTCACCTCACTGATTGTTTATTTCACTGAGAAGAAATTTTTAGTTTGAATCCATTCCATTTATTGAATCTTGATTTTAATTCTTCCACTATAGGAGTATTATTAAGGAAGCCATGGCCTAATCCAACATGATGGAGATTTGGGCCTACTTTTTCTTCTAATAGATTCAGTGACTCTGGTTTAATTCCTATGTCCTTGGTCCACTTTGAGTTCAGTTTTGCACATGGTGAGTGATAGGGGTTTAATTTCATTTTGTTGCATATGGATTTCCAGTTTTAGTCCTGCTGTTGAAGAGGCTATCTTTTCTCCAATATATGTTTTTAGCACCCTTGTCTAATATAAGATAACTGTCATTATGTGGGTTTGTCTCCGTGTCCTCTACTCTGTAACATTGGTCTACAAGTCTATTTTGGTGTCAATACCATGCTTGAACAACAGCAATTTATATGTAAAAATTAAATCCATAGTCATATTGATTATTAAATGAGATCATTATATTTTTATTCATGAGCCTCTACATGACAAAAGTCTTTCAAGAAATTAATGATGATATAATGATAAAGAGAACAGTTTCTGAGATTAATTGTGTGGTTTCAAATCACATGTCTGCTACTTATCAACTGTATGACTCCTGTAAAATTGAATAATAGTATCTGCTACTATGAAATGAGATAGTCTCAATAAGATTTTCTTGTTTATTTTTAATCAAAATCAAAAGGAGCAGATGAGTGGTCTATTTTGTTCCAAGTGAGACACATAGAACAGAGATATATATTCACGAACATGTGAGGTATTGGCATTCTTTTTAGAGTTTACCTTGAAAATCAAGCAGACCTTTGAACAGACTCTACAGGAGAAAGGATAGGTATCAACCCAAAGCATCACATATGATTTCCATTTCATGAATCTTGTGCTACTACTACTCATGAAATTTCTGAATTTAATGAAAGATCCAATTTTAGAAAACAACCCTACAAAGTTTTATTCTTTTTGGAGAAAGCTGGTTTTAAACAAAACCATCACTATTAATAGGAGAAGGTATATAGAAAGAAAATCAAGCTTGTGGAGAACAAATAACCAAGAACAGAATTTATACATTAGTAGCACATGTGCAAGCAAATGTGTAGAGAGTTTCTTTGCTTAGATTTGGGTGGTAAGAATTATTCACCAAGTTTCCTTAACCAGGCTGTACTCTTGTTCTTAACTTACTGCCACCTGATTGTTTGTGGTGGTCCTTAACAGATGTTTTACCGCCCTCTAAGGGATCTGGACATGAATACCCTAATAGAGAGAAGAAAAGGAAATCCCCAGAGAAATGTCACATTTGCATTCAAGTTTTTAAAGTAAATATTTATTTAGAATAAGAAAATGAAAGAGTGGGTTAACTTATGAAACACAAAAAGATAAATYAAATGTTAGGAAACAAAGCAAGGAAAATGCAAATGAACTTTAAAAAAGCAGACAATAGCAGCATTCTCTCTCCCTCCAGAGAGTCTGTTTTGATTTTTCTGATTGCAACTAACTCTCAGCTGTCAATAACATTGAACTAAAAGACAAGGGTTGTAGATATCTTGCTGTAGTGCTAAATCTGCTATAAACACCTGTATTTCTGCTCTTTAATCTTAAAATGTATAAAATGAGAAGTTACGGCTTATCCCATTAAAACATATCATATTGTGCCTTATCAATAATGGCTATAAACTTCTTTGTTTTCTAGGATGCTTATCAAAATATTTTGGCTTACCAAAGCAAACAGGCCCTATTTTTAAAAAAAAACAGTAGAAATAAATAGTTTCATTTAAAAAACAAACAAAAAAAAGATTTTGAAAAATGATATAATGTTCAATTTAAGGGGAAAAAGGTATATATTGTCTCTTATAATTGGGAATGGCTAATAGAATTCAGTTTGCTCCTATATAAAGCTAGTAGTAGTTAGTACCTTGCAAGGGTGCCTTCGAAAAACTTGTCCTTATTTTTAAGCTCCTGGAGAATCTAGACTTTTATATAATAAAGTATTGAATTTTTGAAAGGCCAATAGTTTGTTTGCCCAGTTAAACATAGTAAGGGACAGATTCAGAATGTGAGTTGCCATCCTTCAACCCTTAGTTTAGGGAATATATAAAAATCAATCGATTATATTTTCCATTCCTTATTAAATATTTGGAATCACTGAGTAACAATTGCCTGAAATACAGCTTGTGTATGTTATTGGATGAATTCATGCCATAGGATATAAATTTCAACTAAGCCAAGATTTTTTTTATTCTATCTTCAAGACAAGTAGTAGGAGAAAAGCAAAGGTTATTCCACTACTTCCAGGAGCTCAGCCTCCTCACCACAGAACTTCCTAAAAAGCCAATTGGCCTTGAAGACTATTTGATTCATTTTCTCTCTCCTTCCTGAATGCTGAAGATGAATAGATTTTTAAGTTTAAAAACCAAAATATCATATTTGTGAAAACATTCCCACACTAATTCTTTACTGCTATAGTAGTTAACCCAATTTCTGCATAATACTCTGCAATACTAATTAAATATGATGAGAAATTGCTGTGTCATAGTGCACATATATTTTCCATTTGTACACAGACTCTACCATCGTTATTTATTGCATGTATGCACATCAAGTATTTTGATTAATCATGACAATAATATATCCAAGTGATATATCCAAAATTATTTGGAAGACTAGGAAATATAGAAAGTTTTTGTTTTTGGAAGGTGCTCCAAAGCTAGCCAGACATCAGTTCTCCCTATATATTGTTAAGTAGGTCTCATATTGTATAACTACTTAATAGTGGTTATTTCATTGTATAGATTTTTTTGTGTGTATGAATTGAAGCTTCTATTTTTTTACCAACAGACCATCTTCTTTGCTTCAGTAAGGATGAATTTTCTTGATTATTATTCATGTATTACTGCTCTAGGAATTCTTGGGAAACAGCGTCAAGACTGTCTTGTTCATTTTTATTATAACCTGAAAGATTACAGTTGAAAGTCTTTAATTAAAGAAAAATTTTCATCCAGAACTGAGCTCTTTATATTAACAGAAAATAACACCAACACATTTTTTTGTAGGTTTCTGTTTGTTTTACAGTACTGGAGATGGAACCTCAGGCCATACACATACTAGGCAAGTCCCCTACCACTAAGCTACGTCCCCAGACCTTTTCTAAAATATAACTTTTGACAGGATCTTCGTAAATTTCCAATCCTGGTCATTGTTCTGCCTTAGCATCCTGTCACTGGAATCATAGGCATGCATGCACCATCGCTCAGCAAAATGTTGTAGTTAAAACAATTATTTACAAATATTTGATTCAATTTTCACAAGGACACTGAAAAGCTGTCCATTTGCCAGTAGAATAGACAAAGAACTTAAAAGATGATGAAGCTGCTTTGGTTAGATCAGTGTTCTAATTAGCTTTGAATTTAAGTGAGACTAATCTTAAATCATTACTCTAGGTCTCTACCAACCAGCACATTAAACAATGAATAACTTATGTGAACCTACCTCAAATTTTTCATATAGGTACATTTGTTAATTGTTCACGTTGGGGGGAGTTGCTGGGTATAGCTGAATAAAATGTGCAATTAGTATATTACAATGACTTTTGCACTGAATATAAATGTATACCAATATCTTTATTTTATTAGAGTATTTGGAAATATTTAATATATCTCATGATAATATGCATTACAAACTTTAATATATTATATTATTCAGTTATTGTATATAAGACATATATGTAGCACAACAATTTATATTTATTTTATGCTTACCTGCAGAATTTATCTAATAAGACACCAGGTTTTCGACAATAGAGTTATCTATTGTATTTCAAGAAATAGTAATAGATGATCAAGTTGGAATGTATAATGTCTCATTACATTCTTGTGTTTTAGTATCCATTCTGATTCTAGAATTGAAGTCTTACATTCCGAGGAGTTGTATTTATTGTTTGGGTTTTTTGTTTGCTTCTTTTTTCAAATTTCTACGTTATTCTTCAAAGATTTTGTTAGAGTGTACTTATTATTTTTTGGGTTTTTACCTCTTAGGAATTTGACAATAGTTACCTACAAAATGTCAAAAACAAAACAAAACAAAACAAAACAAAAAAAAAAAACCAAAGTCTTATCATTAGGAGAATAATCTGAGATTTTATGTGCCTTAGAGAAGAGCTCTTCATGGATCTCACTCTTATAAAACTAATTAGAACCACAACAAAATATTTATGTATTATCTTACTTTCTCTTTTTTGATTTATGTAGTATTTTTCAGAATTCTATGGGAGATAAGAAATATGCTTTTCTCCAATTTTTAATGCTTTGAAAAGATTTTGAAAATGCTAGAGAGTATTATTACTATAAACTAAATAAAGTATGGATTCTGTCTACCATAATGATGCCTGAAGGAAAAAAATGTGGAAAAAATATCTTAAAATAATTTTTATTTGGCCTTTCCTCTTCTTCTCCTTCATTTCAAATCAAGAGATTCGTTCTCCTGCTGGCTGTAATGGGAATCACTTCCAGTGCCATCCTGATGGAAATTGCATTCCTGATCTGTGGCGCTGTGATGGAGAAAAAGATTGTGAAGATGGTAGTGATGAAAAAGGATGCAATGGCACGATACGCTTGTGTGATCACAAAACCAAGTTCTCCTGTCAGCGTACAGGTGAGCAGAATGTTGCTTTCACCTTCTGTTGCACTCCCTGAATGAAGAACCCCTTCTGCTCGCCCGCAATCTGTTTCTCAATTTTGCAAAGAGCATTGTTGTATTCCTAGTAGGTCTGCTCACATTCTATATTTAACAACAGTAATAGCCATCTTCTAATGAGAAGTATTATTGGTCTATAGAATTCTAAAAGTATTCTCTTCATGAACACAAGAGACAAAGAGCTTTAAATATGCCCCAGTTCACAAAACTGACATGGCACAATAGAAACAAAAAATTGGGGGTGAGGATGGAGGTATCAGTAATTCAACTGAGGGGCACTCAAACACTGAGCCACATTTCAAGCCCTATTTTGAATTTTATTTAGAGACAGGGTCTCACTGAGTTGCTTAGCACCTAACTTTTGATGAAGGTATCTTTGAACTCATGATCTTCCTACCTCAGGTATTACAGGCATGCACCATCACATTGGGTATATATTGAAATTTGAAACCAGCCCATTTGGATTCAGAGTCTCAAATTTCATAGGCTAGAGATGAAGTTAAGAGAACAAACAGAATGCAAGAACTGCAAAGAATTTTTCATAGATTTCAGGAAGTATTCTTGGTTCATCTCTGGAACATCTCTTTAATGTGAATTGCTTTTGAATTGCTAAATCACAAGCTCTTAGTGATTCCTTTTGTTCTGTATACCAACTAATTGGTAGAGAGTAAAAATCATGAGTAAGCAAATACTATAAAAACCACATTACTAATGTGAACTTTTTTTTTCTTTTCTTTTTTTTTTTAGTGCCAGGAATTGAACTCAGGGGCACTCAACCACTGAGTCACATCCCCAGCCCTATTTTGTATTTTATTTAGGGACAAGGTCTCACTGAGTTGCTTAGCACCTCACCATTGCTGAGGCTGACTTTGAACTCTTGTTCCTCCTGCCTCAGCATCCAGAGCTACTGGAATTACAGGCATGTGTCATTGAACCCAGTGGCTGATGAATTTAAAGATACAAAAAAAGCATCACATTTCTTTCCTAAAAACACTTCTTGGTTACACTGAAGAATTTAAATAAAAAACAAAGAAATATATGTAAACTAGTATAGATATACATGAAAAATATTTCTGTAGCTCATTCCTAGTGAGAGAATTATGTGTCCAAATGGGTTATTCTTCCAACAATAGTTTTTCAAAGTTGTTTCTATCTTCAATTGTTACATAAACATTTTATTTGGAGAATACTAGGTTTAAATGTGATTTTCAGTATATAAATTATCCTTTGGAATATATATTAGTTAAAATCAATAGATAAGTATTGTTAGATTAATAAAATATTGACTGCCTAAATAATTTTCTATAGACTAACTCTTTTACCAAAGAGACAGTTATTTGACTCAGATTAACATAATTCAAAGCATATATTTTCTTCCATATGACTTCTGTTCTTTGTCTAATTAGTCTAATGTTGAAAGAAAGCAAAGAATAGTCTTCACTATATAAGTATGAATACGAAACTGGCAAAACTATGTTAAAACAAATATAAATTGGCATGGAAAATTTTAAAAATTAATTGGATATGATACAAAAGTTTGGCAAATTTAGATGTAAACCTTAAAATCAGGATTAAATTTTTATTTGGAGAAAGAAATGCTTAGAAAGCTTCAGGAATAATGGTTATCAGAAGACAGGGATGATGTGGGGATGGAGAGAAGATAGGTAGCAGTTACAGAGGTACAGTTGGCTGTGAGGAATAACTTCTAATGTTCTGTGGCACAGTAGGGTAACTATAGTTGGCAACCAACTGTATGTTTCAAAAGAGCTGTTAAGTGTTCCAAAAACAAACAAAAATGATAAATATGAGAGATAAATGATATGTCAATTACTCTAATCTGATATTTATACATTGAGTACATATATTGAAATATCACATCATATCCCATAAATAATGTACAATTATATTGTGTCAATAAAAAAAAATCTAATGGAGAAAGAACTTCATAGCAATGTATACTTAAACAACTATAATGTCATTAAGAACTTGTTTGAACTTTCTACACATAGAAAATATTCAGAGAAAACATAATAAACAAGAATATTAAGAAAACAATAGATAATTTGAATGCTTCTGCATTGTATAATATTTATTGATATTTTGAAATGAAATCATACAAATTCCTCTGAATATGACTCAAAGATTAAACTGAAGTATGATAAGGATGACTAGCTATCTTTGGAAAACTGGATTCTTAGAGATACTTGCATGTGTTGACTTATGACTTATATTGCACTTTTAATAATGTTATTAATAAGATTTATCAAGGAATTTTCAAGTAAACCAAAATTTAATGTAAATAAAGCACAATTAAAGTACAACTGATATTTCATTTTAAAAGAGAAATGTAAAAAGTATTACTTTACCAATCCATTTGCTTCTAATTAATCTGTAGTTTAGATATAGTAAATCATAATTTTGCCAAACTTTAAAACAATCATCATGCACAACTGCATATTCATATTTATGATAGATTTTTGTGAACATTGGAAGCATTTAAAGAAACCACAATAATAATCATTGAATATATATGCATCAATGGTCCTTTTGATATTTTTTTATCTACTTTAATTAAGTTATCACTTTTGCAAGCTAAAAGACCTTTAAAACTACTCAAGATTTTCAATCCAGAGTTCAGGTTTATTTTCAAAGATGTCGTAAATGCTAGCTTGGACATTTAAAAGTTTCCAAATTAATAAATTTACATTTATTAGTTAGAATGGCTTTTCTTTTATACATAAGTTGCCATCTCTTAATTAGTGTTCAAATACAAGCACATTAGTAAGTTTTATATTAGTATATAAGAGCATGAGAGTTAAATTAAAATACAATACAACTATTAACATCAAAAGGCTTCTAACCTCAAAGGAACTATCTGACCAAGAAGTGTATTCTACCACATCTGGTCTCTCATGTCCCAGACCTATAAATAGCAGTTATATCATAAATGAGGAGTCAGGGGAGAGAGTTTCAAGTCTACCCCTCATGTAAAAGCAACTCAGGATGCCATTCTTTAAATTAAAAAAGAAAAAGAAAATGTTTGGTATTATAAAGTGATGTCAAGAGTATAGGGAAAATTGCCCCTCAGGGGTTGAAGGAATGTTAATTTGACCCTGCCTTCCCAGTTTAGAAATTTATGTAGGTAAAATCAGAAATATATGAAATTATAGATGCACAAATATATTCATTGAATTTTTTCGTTTTTAGTAAAAAAAAATTAAACAATGTATTGCTTTTCAGTATGGAACTACTTAAAAGAATTATGGCGTACTCATATAATGAATTACTCTAATATCATTCAGAAGAAATAAGAAAGGAATTCATTTAAGTTAAGACTTGTATTCACACTTTGAAACTTCTCTCTACTGCTAAAAACACATATAAGTGATACTCGCATGTTACAAGAGAAAATAAAGAGACATGCTGATTTACTACTCTAAGAAATACGAATAAGACAGTATATAGAATGCTGAGCTGTGCCTGCAATATTTTCATATCGATCTATCGGTCTGTTTGTCTGTCTAGTATCTCTGCTGCTGATGACAAATTACCTAACTGAAGTCATGTACCTAAAGAGACGGAAGGACACAGGCATGGGAATTCAGACAAGCAAGTCTCTGTCTGATGTAGAGATCAAATGTGATAAAAATCCAATATTGTTTTGGGATAGACTCCTACAAAAAAAACAAACATAAGATATATTTCTGAACCATGAATGCTGGAAATAATGGGGTAGGCTGAAGTGTAAGCAGTGAAACCGTAGATAAGAACAAGTAAACGCATAAAGAGAAAAATGAAAGCTCGCAGACAAAATGAGATTTCAAACCAAAAGTCTAAAACGTACCAGGGAAGCTATCTCTGAGGAAATCAGTTCTCAAAACACTCATTACCAAATGAATTACTTGTGATTAAATGAAAATGAAATGTGTGTCTAAAAATTTTAGAATAATTATGTGGAGATCATGGAAGAAAAACAAAAAGAAAGAAAAGAATACATACGACATGTATATGAAAATAAAATATATTTAATAATATATATAAAAATTATTGTAATTATTCTGCCTGTCATATTATATATTTTACATATTATAATATAGTCATTATCATTATAATATATAATATGACAAGCAGAATAATTGCAATTGGAAAAGGTTGACAAAATGATCTTAGTTTAGGCTGCTACAACAAATTAACATAAACTGGGTGGCTTAATCAGCAAACATTTATTTTTGACCATGTAGGAGGCTGGGAATTTCCAAGGTGGAGGCTCTACCAGATCACATGGATGGTTAGGGTACTATTCCTGGTTTGCAGAGACCATGCTTCTTATTGCATAAGATTGCTAATGTCATGACAGACCTAATTACTTGACCAAACCCCCTTTTTCTAATACAGTCACATAAGGGATAGATTTCAATATGAATTTTCTGGAAAACAAAAATTCAGTCATAACACCCATAATGAGAAAAATGCAACTCCAAACTATAGTGGCATCACTTTTTATTCAACATTAGCTAGGTGATAATTAACAAGTTGAAAAACATCTGTGTCAGTGAGAATAGATGAAGCACACACTTTTAGGTTAGGGGATATTGGTAAACCCCTATGAAAAGTAAGAAATATGTATCAGTGATGAAAATCTACTTACTTTTTTTGAGAGAGAGAGAGAGAGAATTTTAATATTTATTTTTTTAGTTTTTGGTGGATGCAACATCTTTGTTTGTATGTGGTGCCGATCGAACTCGGGCCACACGCATGCCAGGCAAGCACGCTACCACTTGAGCCACATCCTCAGCCCATGCATTTACTTTTTTACTAGCAATTCTACCTCCAGGAATTTATGAAGTAGATGTACATTTGTGAAATAAGATGTACAAAAATATTTAATTATTTTACAGTACTTTAAGTCATGTGTTTAATATGCTTAAGTCAATGCATATAAAGACACCAACTGGCAC